AGCAGGTGAATAAGTAGCATAAATACATGCCAATATACAGTTTTTTACATTTTTCAGGATTAATGGTTACAAGGTATTTGAACACTAGTAAAATGATTTAGGAGCCTGTTTAGACAATGCATTTTTAGGTACTGAAACTTAAATTAAATGTAATAACGAATATTCATATCCCTCTGTCTCCTCCCCAGTCCTGCAAAATCTTCACACAGCCTTTGCTTAGAAGCAAGATGTGCTTTGGGTATCCTTCAGCCCTTAAGTCTCTCAGGATATGTACATGGTTTCCATCTCAGCAACTGTTTTTAAAAGAACTGTGGAGTAGACATGCATGCACAACAATCATGGAGTGACTAGTGTGTCCCTTCCTCCTAATGTGTGCTACTCATCAGGACAGAAAAAGAAGCGAGAAATTTTTCCTGAAAACAACTGCAGTTTGACAAATTGTGACTGACAAATTGGTCTGACACATTGTGACTCTTCCTATGTAGGGAGTTTAGCCTGTCTCAGAACACCAAAGCAGGCCTAAAATCACCTTATGTCAACACGTAAAAGTCTAGCTCAAAACCTGAAAGATTTAGGGCTCCTGCTCACTCAGAACACTATGCTGGCACATGGAGGTACCATACTAGTATTCCAAACTGCGCAAAACTTCTGAGTTGGAGTGCCTTCTAACTATGCCAATATAACAAGAAGACCCTGGAAACCAAAGTTATGGATATAATCAACCTCTTCTATTTCTCCCTCTTCATTTCAGTCAACCTTATATATGAAATAAGTCTACACAACAAATTTTGGAAGGATCTGTATATTTTTCCCCCCACTTCAGTATCTCTAGCTTTGCTTCTTCCTACTTAAAGGTACACCCCAAAAAAACACGGTACTTTCCTTCTCAAAAATCCTTCTCCGTGGACAGTCCTGTACAGTCTCAGAATACGTAACAACAATTCACCATTTAGACTCACTACTCTGGAATATAAATCTCCTACGGGTAAGCAAGAGAACCAGGAAGCTTACCTTCCCATGTACCTACTGACTTCATACCACACACTCCCAATGAGCCTTAAGACCACATTATCTAATATATACAATTGAGGAGGGGAACAGACATTTTATATACAGGTATATTAGGAAAAAAAAAAAGGAATAAATGAAGTGGTTAAAAAAAGTCAGTAAAATAAACATTTTTCCCCTGCTGCTGAGCAAAAGTAGTATAAGTTGTTTGGGCTTAGTACAGACTATTTATATGTTAACAATGTTCATGGCACTATGGCTGGGGGCAGTGGGGTGCAGTGAAAATCAGCTGCTGTGGATGAACTTTTTCATGGTACAAGTCCAAGCCTAGCGTGCCTGAAAAGACAGTGAGATTGTGAGCTATATAATGCATCCATGTATAGATAGGTTTATTCATCCTCTGAGTTTATTGCCCCCACCCTGCCCCCCCAGCTCTCTTTCAGGTTCATTACTCAGAATGCTAATTGCCCAGTTCTTGTTCAGGACTGGCTGACTGGCTGTCAAGCCAATTCTATTGCCTGTTTGACAAATGAGCTCTTTCGCCTCCCTGCAAAGGCTGTAAGGAAGGTCATGAGACTGTATAGTGTGCTTTTTTCTTCTTTATGACAAAGTTTAAAAGGGAGAATTCAAGCCAACTTAGCAGAAAAGAGAAACTAGTTACTGAACTCACAAATCTACCCCAAACTGTTTTTAGCTGGCAAAAGGGACCTGTAAAGCACGGATTATTTCTTTACATCCTGCTTTTTTAAAGCAGCCTGGCACACTCTTTTTTTTCCTTAAAAAGATTCTTTGAAGCAGCAAAAGTATATGCAAGTTGCTGGCTAGGTTATAAAACAACACAGCTGGATATAAAGCCACACTATTTCAGACAGAAGTATATTAAAATCCTCCTCATAACCAAATCAGTTTATAGTACATGAGTTCTGAAGCCCCAATACTGCAAAACACACTTACAAATTTGTGTTTACATATTATACAAAAGCTGCTTAGCTCATTGGGACAGCACCAGTCTTCGCAGAATGGTTGAAGTTGGAAGGGAACTCTTGAGGTCATCCGGTCAGCTAGACCTGGTTACCTCGGGCTATATTCAGACTGCTTTTGAATATCTCCCAAGAGAGAGCCTCCACATCATTTCTGAGCAAACTGTGCCAGTGCTCCATCATCCTCACAGTAAAATCAAAGTGTTTCCCGATGTTCAGAGAGAACTTCCCATGCTTCAGTTTGGGACCATTGCTTCTGTCACCAGGCACCACTGAAAACAGGCTGGCTCCATCCTTTCTGCACTCTCCCTTCAGATGTTTAAATATATTTAAAGATTCCCTCCAAACCTGGTCTTCTCCAGGCTGAACAGTTCTAGCTCTCTCAGCTCTTCCTTGTAGGAGGGATGCTCTCGTCCCTTTATCACCTGGGCAGCCCTTTGCTGGACTCTCCAGTATGTTGATGTTTCTCATGTACTGGGAAGCTCAGAATTGGCCCAAGTGCAGCCTCACCAGTGCTGAGTAGAGGGAAGAATTTCCTCCCTGAACCCTCTAGCAACAGTCCCAATTCAGCCTAGGACACTGCTAGCCTTCTTTGTTGCAAGGGCACAGCGCTGGCTCATGTTCCACTTGGCGTACACCAGCACCTCCAGGACCTTCCCTAAAGGCTGCTTTACTGTCTTAGAGTATAGAATCATAAAATTGTTTAGGTTGGAAAGACCTTTGACAGCCCATAATGCCTTTAGGATATCCATGCTAGCCTTAGGCAAGAAGCAGTCTAGCTACAAGTGATTTTCAGTTAAGTAACAGATCTCTCAAGTTTTAGGCTTCATCTACTTGCCTTTTGCCTCCAACTCACCAGCTGCAGCAAGAACAACTCTGTCTGGGATGTAACTGATCTGCCCCTCACTAAGATGCACGGTGCATACAAGTATTTAGAACTTGATCTTGTTGACTGTAGCTTCTGGCAATTGCCTGTCCTCTAGAGACCTGAGCAAAAGGTCAGTCTCAAATTGGCTTGATGCGAGTCCATTTTTCCATAATTCCTTCTTCAAAACTCAAGTCTGTCTGTACTCAAGAGCTCTGCAGTTCACCTATACCTATACTACATTTTGGTCAAGGAAACCATGAACCAAACTGGTTCACCCTAAGCATGACAGGATACAACAGTTAGAGAACCTGGGAAGATATGCTTATCTTCAAGGAGAGCTGTGCTTTAAAACCATAAGCAATATTTTATTTATTAATTTCTACAGAATAACCTATTACATATGGAGCCTGAGCTAATGCATATTAAACTGCTCTACATGGTTTTGTTTGTCTTCAAATCATCATGGCATTTCCTTCCACTTTCAGGATCTGATTAAAAATGGATTAAGATGATTTGATAACAGATGTCCAAACCTCAAGTTAAAACCTGAGCTTTGGCTTCTGGCTATTAGCAATTATGAATCGAATGCATTTTTCCTGGGGGGGAGGGAGGCCTCTCCCATATGGAAAACATGTAAAACATAAACCATTATTCTGCCAGAACACCCTCTAGCTGTAGGTCTGGCATTTTTTAGACTTCAAATCCTAGACTATAGCTGTTTTCCCTTTATCTGTTCATTTGTTCTAAAGAGAAATTATTTGTGTTACCTACTAAAATGATACAGAAACATTAAAAATCACTTCTAGAAAGCCAGTCTAAACTAAAGCTCTTTTCTGGGGCTTAGACACAGGTATAAATTCTGTGAGTATGCTCAAGAGTATTAAATAAAACATGCTTTTGTTTTTGCTGAATGAAAAAAAAAAATAAAAATCACAGCATCTCTTTCCGAGCCTATTCAAGCCATCTAACATGAGTACCATATGGTATGTAGATATACACTGTTTATGCCCATATATATATGTAAGTTAATTAATATTCCATTACTATTTGTAATTATCTACAACCAAGGCATATGGACAACTAGAATCTAAGTTAACAATATGCTTCTGAATCAGCAAAATTTGATCTGAATTTAAGTGGCAAAACTTCAGTACTTCCCATGTGATATTTGTTCCACTGCAAGCACCAGTTACTATGCCTGAAGTGAACAATAATTTGTAACTTTGTCACTATTTTCAATTAAAAGAAAAAAAAAAACATTAACAGAATATCACAGCACCACTGTTATCAACCAGGTTTTATTATTTTCAAACTTTTTAACAAAGAAGGAAAGGAAACTAATTTTATTTTTAGTTGTTGCCTTTTAGCAAGCCCAATCCTTGATCCAATAATTCAACACATACTGACTTGTTTTGTCTATTGTCTTGGTATTTTATCTTCTTCCCAACTTCTGTAGCAAGCAAACTGAAAATTAGGCTCCATTTCACAAATGCTTTCTCTTTTCCTGTCTCCCTTTCTTCCCATTTCCCAACTGATTTTAGTCTTGTAACAGAGAGTTACAAAAAAATCATTATTTCTTATATTTGGGGGGCGGAGGGGAGGTAGAGGCATAGGGTGGGAGGGGCGTTCATTTTACTTTAAAGAGGAGTAGCGACTAGCATGCTGCACTACGGCAAAGCTGAGAAGGCTTACTTTCATGACGCTGCCCTTTGAGATATGTAGGCTCCCCCTCCACTCCCAGGGCCAGAGGCAGCAGAGACACGCTGCCAGTACTGCCTTCAGTAGGGAGTTTAGTATCTGAGCTGCAGTTTGAGCATGCATGGACTGAAATGGTTATTTTATGTGCAAGTGTCAGCCATGATCTCTTGCCAGGGCATTCTTGGGAGAGATGCCAAGGATCTTCCTCTAGGTGAGTAAAGCCAAGGTTTTGTTTGACAGAGAAGCTCTATTTCAATTCAGTAGAAACTATGTGTGGAACACTAAAACGTGTGGCACATTACTACTCCAGTATTTTATCAGAAAGAGAGATTAAAAGGAAAAACGTGGAGTTTGATGCGATATTAAACTTACCTTTTCATTCCATGCCCACAATCCAATCCCAAGAAATGCTATGCCAAGGAACTAAAGGGAAAAAAAAATTATATCAGAGCAGGAACTATACATTTTTTATTATTTTTTTTTAAACATACATTTTGACTCATACTCTCTGTTGGATAATCAATTTTATCAGGACTGTGGGGACTTACCATGAGTTTTAAACTATGTCCGTAGTTATTTTCAACTCAACCAGTGTAACTGGAAGAAATTAAAACTTGCACAGCTCATTTAGGGATGTTCTACATAGGCACAATAGCTGCAATAAGTGTCAGTTTCTCAGCATCAAGCACATAAGGTTTTTTTGAATTTGTTGGACTGAAACCAATCTCCACAGTCAAGCAACACACTTACTGTTGTATTACCGTCACCTGCACAGAACAACTGTCCCTGAAGCTCTCTCCCAGTGAAAGTGATCAAAACAAAGTCCTAAATAATCCTGTGGTATCAGTTTCAGCTACGCTGTTCACAGAAACACAGAAAGCTATTTAAATATAACCCATGGGGAAAAGAAATAAAAATAAGACTGGTCTAACAAAGTATGATATTTTTAAAACCCTGAAGCCAATGTTTTATAACCTTTATGATACTGAACGCTTCTGTATTTCACAAAGGACATTACAGTCCCCTTTCTCCTTGAACAGATTCAAGAGTCCCAAACTCAAAAGACAGTGTTTTTCCCCCATGATAGAAAAGGGAACAGCACCTGTGATTTTGTTATATCCCTGTATTCAGAATAAGCTCTCTATCTTCCAAGACCACACCACTGCATGTTTAGCATGATACAGTACCAGTAATGTAGAACATTTAAAAACAAATATACAGCAGGTGTCCAAGCACATCACTAGATGTTTATCTGTCCAATTTTCATCTCTGTTTTTTAAAACTTAAATGCTAGTGAAAAAGAAAATTATATACACTCTTATTTCAGGGCATGTAGCATTACTCAATCATCAAACTCTGATTTTCTTTGTGTTTTCTCCACACTGCGGTGACAAATGTATTGTGGCACATAGTACACTAAGATTTGTGTAAGCAGTTAAGTATCCTAATGAATTTTCTTTTGCAAACCAGGACAAAGTATTTTTCTGTTAAGAAGTGGGAGGAGGCAGGAATATGAACTAAAATTTTCCCAAAAGGGATTTCAACAGCTTGAAACAAGATTTCTTCTTCCTTATATGCTTTTTTCTTTTTAAAGTGGCAACTTTTTCATTATACAACATGAGTATCTGTAAAGCATAACTCAGTATCAAGTGAAATATGCCCACTGTAATACCCCCAAGTTCTCTAACACTCCTTGCATCTCTGTGACTCTGTCCTCTACATGTGTTTTGCCAGCTGACCACAGAATCACACATACTACACCCAGCCAGCTCACCCAGAAGCCCATCTGTATTAACCAGGAATGAACCTCTCCTTTTTGACTTGAAGAGTCATGATTGTAAATTTAAACAATACTACAGGTCAGTTTCTTCAAATGGAAGTGTCACTGTATTTTAATATGAAATAAACAGAATTTTTTTCTAGATGGAAAAGCAGAACTGCTAGCCAAAGTCTGTTATTTCGGCAGCCTAAATTGCCTATGAAGTACAAAAGACAGATCTGAGAATGTCAGTACAAACTCTTCTAATACACCACACGATCCAAAATAGGTGATTTTACTTGTGTCAAGACTGCTCTTTTTCTATGGTTATAAAGTCTACCAGAAGAGTGTGTGTAATCCTCCTGCCTAGAGTGATTATTTGAAATTTGAGATAAAGTTGTACAAGTTTCCAAATCACTTTCAGACACAGTTAAGTCCTTTTTTGCACTAACAGGCTCCTTTGCTCCTTTCTTATACAGCCAAAGGCACCAAGGTTGAAGAAAAAGGAGTGAGGTGAAAAAAACTAATATAAAAATCGATAAGCTGTATTTGCAAGTGACAAACTTATTTATAGAGAGGTACAAGACATTATATTTTGAAAACAGCTTAATATGGTTTTGAACAGAATAAGCACAGAAAACAAAAGAATTTGATTAGTGCATACAAATATAACTTAATAGCCTTACACATCAGCTGCAAGCCTGGCTCACATCCACAAATTTCTTCAAATTTAACCTAGTCAAGTGTCCTCATCCTTCACCTGAAGTTGAGACCTAAGGACGAGAATCCCTCATGGGTATTAAAAGGTGATTTACAGTAGACTGTATGAGTCTTGAGCCAGGCATTCCTCACCTAAATATATGAACTGGGTAACAGGGCTGCACTATACTAAGCTGAAGCATCTAAAAAACTGAGATTGTAAAGCTTCTGGCAAGCCTGTCAAGAAAAACCAGGAAACTGAGTCAGAGTTTTCAAGTGGATCAAAAAATTACATGCTGCTCAGTCCTCTCCATATCCCAAAATGGAAATCTCTGTCCACTTGCCTTTTGAGCAGCCAAGTGAACAGGAGCAATGGACAAGATCCAATAGGAGAAAAGGGTTCAGGATAAAATTATTTTTAATCACAGGATGCTGTGGAAATCAAAAGCTTCATGGCATTAAAAAAAAATTGATAAACTAACAGAGGATCCATAGGTATCAAAATATGATTTTGATACAGCTTCAATCTTAGGAAACTTTTTTTTACACTGTTTACATCAGGAAAAAAAAAAAAAAATCACTGTATGTGTGCTCTTTGGCTTAAATGCCTCTTGCCTTGAACAAACTCTGCTTGTGTTACTTGACAGAAAATACAGAGCTAGGCATACCACCAACCTATTTCCCTATAAGCACGGTCTAGAAAGGCCCACCCTGGCACAAACACAGCAAGCTACTGGGACGAAACATATAGGAATGCTCTCAGTAATCCCTACTGGCAGAAGACAGATGCTCATGAGGAGGCTTACATTTCTCACCAGGATTAACTCTGGATTTTCTTGACAAGTATCAAAGAAACTCCTGCATAGGCTAAAATAAGTTAAAAGTAATTAGCAAAAAATCACTCTATTTTTGCTGTTAAAACCAGAAGCAAGACAGGATGCATATCCTGCTTATCTTGCAGCCCCCTTCTGCAGACAGTCTTGTTCTGCTTGCTTGTAATCAGAAAGAAAATCTCTTCACATTTGAAGCACGTAGGGAAATGGTGCAGTGGCATACCTATCATCACAGTTAAGTCTGGGAAATTTCATTTACCTTCATTAATTTATTCCAATGAGTAATAAAAAGGTGGAAGTTTGCCTCATTATCTACAAAACACTCTACAGAGAAAAAACAGTCTCAGTTCTCCACAGACATCTAGTAGGATCGTTTAGCCTGACTAAATAGTCACCAGACCTGGGCCAGGGCTTGTAAAATGTAGATACTTCTCTTTTTTAAACAATAGTTTGCAAGAGAATATTAAAACATTCCTCTGGAGTATAACAGCCTTACAAAAAACTTGCACAGTAGAATTTTCTCAGCCACAGGTTTTCTATTCACAAACATCACACATTTCTACAGAGATTATATGTATTTAAAAGTAGAATGTGTAGCAATACTTGTACTGTTGTCCTGCTTATAAAGTTCACATGCAGTTTTCACAAGTGGATTGATCAGTAAGTGTTTCAAGCTGGGCATATCTTATTCCCAGTCTCTTCTGCAAGGAGGAAAATGATTCTCTGTTGCTACAGACAGAGCATCAGACAGCACAGCGCTTCAGCAAATACCAATGCAAATACTAGAAAAAGTTGAGGGAAAGGAGCTTAATTGTAGAGTACTTATGCATTAGTTCAGATACTGAATTTTTCATCTGACATTCTTAAATAACCTGGCACCCCTTTTCAACCACAAAGGACAACAGCCACAGGCCAAGCAGTAGAAGGCTGGTTAATGGGCTATGCACATAAACCAGTGTATGTCCATATTAAAGACTTGTCAAAGACAGAACTATAGCACAGGAACTTAATTTCACCTTCACCAGCACAATATAAATGCACTACTGGACACATGTCAAAATTATCAGAGTTCAGGGCCAGAGATTCCTCTCGGGAACTGGCTGGGATGGTTTGTTTGAGTCCTGTATTTAGGTAGTCTGCCCCTGCTTTGAGCTGTCACAAGAACTCTATGACCAGTGTTAGCAAGGAGACTGCCAAGATTCCTAAAGGCACTTTGCTGTTTCTTCCATGCAATATACTGTAGGTTATTCACAGAGCAAGACTTCCTTCTGTGTGATTCAAGCCAGCACAGGAACATGAGGTAAAGTATTTTACTGACAAGCACAGCAGTGATCAGGACAACATGAAGTGTAGTATTTCACATCCTGAAATACAATCAGGAAAACACAGGACTTCTGAGCTTTGTACATGTATAAAGCACCGCCGACAAGTGCTTAACTGACTCTAAAACCCCAGGTGAACAATTTTTCTCTAAGCACTTCCCCTGCTGCACTCTGTGCTAAAACTCACTCAAAGATATTTCCGATACTTTCAGATATGTCAGAATACTCACTGCTTTCTTTAAAAGTATTTTATGCCGAATCAGTTTGGGCTTGTTTTTGCTTTTTATGCCAGGGCAAAGAGAGGCTTAAGATCTCTGTTAGAGTATAAAGGATTTTGATGATGCTTTGGTTGCTTGTTTTTTAAATAGTCCTCACAAAGGGCACCAAAATAGAAATTAAAATGGAGTTTCACAGTTTTCTTCTCCCCTTCATGACACTGATGTGTACACTGCCTTTAAATATGTCAGTCAGCATTCTTTCAGACAAAATAAATAGGACATCCTCTCAAGTCTCCAGCTTTAGCCTGGACCAGTTTCTCAGTGAAGGGAGGTACCAGAAGCCTGCCCTGTTCTTTCTCCAGTTCACTCCCGTTTCAGTAACTTTTCCATTCTTAGCACAAACCGTCACGGCATTTCATTTTCATGTTGTAAACATACATAGTGACTACAGGAAAGGCAAACTGCTCAACGCATACATAGACATTTACATATTTATGCTAATGCTTACAAAGAATGCATTCTCCTAAAGCCCATTTCTTGTCTGCCTTGAGACATCGCCAGCAGGAAAACTCCATGTACTACATAATCAGTG